AAAACAATGCGAATTAATTGATCCCGGTAAAAACTGAATTTTTTTTTCATATCCCTTCGCATACGAACCAACTCTAGTTGAACCCAGTTTAACCTCACGAGCTACTGCAAAAACTTGTTGAGCAACCATCGTGTAAAGTACTGTATTCTAATACAGCACCCGTAAAGTTGATGTTGCAGGAAAACCCGACGAGAGCTTTTCGGCGGAATAAATTCATGGAAATGATGAAAAACTTGTCGAAGGAAAAAATTCTGATGAATTATGCGTAAGAAAATCAGGACTCACGAATATAGCTGCGATTTTTAAGGTGAAAATTCGTGGATTTTCGAAGGTCTGTTTGGGAAATAGAGACTGCCAGTTTCAGCCCGGGATCCGTGGCCTTTCCCCGAGGGGGGGACTTTGTACCCACCGCCAAAAACAGCGCCTTTCCTTCCGCAGTCCCATTAACCCTTCCGCGGTGAAGGGTTCTTTCCCATCCGGCGGCTAATTCGGACTTTTCCTTTATGCTGCCATGTTTTCATTTTTCTGGAGGTCACAAAACCCGAGTCAAGTCCGGTGAGGCAAAGTCGGACAAAATCGGTGGGAATGCAGCAGTCTCTTGAATTTATGCGCGCTAAAAAAACGTGAAAAAGAAATTGTCCCTGATGGAGAATTGCAAAAAGAAGAGATACGAGATATCTTCACTTCCAAATACTGTATCATCAAGCCGAAAACGTTTCTCATGAGAAAGCACCCCACATGCGAATATCAAGATTATTTCGATCCCAGGACTCTTTCTCACCCCTTAAAATGGAAGAAATGTGCCCTTCTCCCCTTCCTGGTCACACGAGCACAAATCCCTCAGACTTTTGGGGTATCTTTTTCCCATAGAGCTTAAATTTGTTACTGTATATTACACAGGAACATCAACGACAAAACAATGTAAAAATATTCTAATTGGTATTTCCTGATTAAAAATCCCGTTTCAGGAGACCAGAATTAAGCGATTTAAAATGTTGGATCGTATTGAATGAAAATTGTACTTCTTAGTTAATTTAAAACTGACTTTAAATCGTATCCTCACTATACAACACTTGTTCCATCTGTCCATTTGTAATCCCAAAATAAAATGATATTGACAGAAAAATTATTTTCAGCCCACAAGCAATCCCACTTAGTTAATTTAAAACTGACTTTAAATCGTATCCTCACTATACAACACTTGTTCCATCTGTCCATTTGTAATCCCAAAATAAAATGATATTGACAGAAAAATTATTTTCAGCCCACAAGCAATCCCGGGGCAAAGTTTTCTGAATTTTCCCGAGGGAAACGATTCGGAAGGTGGGAAACAGAGCAGGTCATGATAATACTGAAGATAGAATCAAGCAAACGTGTTCATGCATTATAGGATTAACTTGTAATATTCCATGCATTTTTAGGTTGCTGAATAAAAATATATGGATTCTTTCAATTCTGAAAGAAGCTTTCATTCGCATCAGACACGTCAGTGCTGCTTAATTAAAGTTTTGCCAAGTTGAAGAAATTACCCAATGCAAAACGTGTGGATGCCTACTTTTTTTCGTCAGAATAGAACCCTTGAAAGCGGACAAGAAATGTTGGAGTGGAGAAAATGTCGGCGAAAGAAAATGACAATGAGGAATAAACCATGCCAACTTGGATAAAGAAACGGTTTAAAAAATAATTTCCAAGTATTTTTAAACGGGTGAAACAAAAATCCTGGATATCCTTCCCGGGCATTTCCTCTCGCCGGCGTTTTCTCAGCCTCGGCATTTTTTTTAACATGTGACCCTGCTCTCGCATGACCTCTGCTCACGGATATTGCAAACACACAAAAGCTCTATTTCTGCTCTCTCGTCTTCAACTTGGGTGGGCCAAAAATATTTTCATCGGATTCAAGAAAAGGGCAGATGCGATAAAATGTTGACAATTAAAACAATTCTTTTGATGGGCATCAAGAGCACATTTCAAAAGCAGAGATGATAAAGATGCTGTGGAACAAATAGTGCAGCCAATAACATATATTCGAAATAAACTCTTAAATATATGTTCGTAATGTTTAGGAATGATTCATTGTGTAATACGAAATGACACAGTTCACAAGCAGCACCGAAAACACGAATACTGTATATAATTTAATAAAAGAAATTTCTTCTCATATCAAAATTTAAGCATAGGTATTTAACATGCAAAGATAAAGCAGGAATAAAAAATGGAGTCATGTTTCTTCCCAATGAAGGTTGTATGAAGACTGACTAATTTTTAATAAAATAAATGCTTGGAATTAAGAAAAAATAAAACTTTGGCTGAGTTTTGAGGTTTTCTCTCCACAGCAACCTCCAATGTCAGCAAAAAGAGATTCTATGGCCTTCAAAAATTTGTAGATCATGCCTCGGACCATTGAAAACGTCTCACCTGACATGTAAAATGAGCTATGAAATCACGCGTGATTCTGAGCGTTTTGAAATCTGAAACGAGAAGGGGGTGTTCCCATCACTAGGATTTCGGCTAAATAAAT